GCTAATCCGATTTCAAAGCAAAGCTTTTGGTCCAGCTTCGTACGTCCGCGTCGTATGGATAAAAAATTCGCCTTTCTCACACTCAACACTATTTGTAAGTTGATATGTTCACTGGCTAAATAAGAAGATAACATTAGAAGACCATTGTTTCTAGTTTTCAAACTTTTCATGTTATATTGTAACAAATTTTAACCTGTGGTTGAAAATTTAAAATTTAAACTTTTGCTTCGATTTGGTTTATTGCAGTTGGGTTGTCACTGTTTAAATAGTTTTAACACCTTTGCTATTTAAGTTAGAATGATGATTGACTTTAGGATTACGAGGTCTTTAGGAATCGAGAGACATTTTTGTAATATGACCATGTTTCAGTGGGAGTTAAGTAAAAATAGTTGAAATTATTAAATCATCAAATTACAACTAGTTGTGCATTTCCTTTTTACAACTCAAGTCCGGGAATCCAAATCACAAGCAATTTGAACTACGCGATGTGATCGTGAAGATCCAGTGGTCTAACTGGTGCTAAAACCTACTGTGGCTGTTTAGGATCATATCTTCTTTTTTTATAATCTACCCTGTAAGGACAAAATTTGACATTATATCGTTGGTATTCACTTTCAACTATTTCCAGTATGAAGTCTCACAATGAACGAACGACTCTCGCCACAGACCTGTTCACTAGTCAGCTCCATTTTATGTCTTATCGTCACATATACATCCATGATCGACACCAAAATGTCCGGATCTGTTCACAAGTCACACAAAGAACAACTCTCGCCACAGACCTGTTCATTAGTCAGCTCCATGTTATGTCTTATCGTCACATTTACATCCATGATCGTCATCAACATGATCTGATCTGTTCACAAAGAACGACTCTCGCCACAGGCCTGTTCACTAGCCAACCCTATGTTATGTAGGCTATGTCTTATCGTCCTTGTCGTCACTCGCCACATGATCTGATCTGTTCAGTGTCTGTTCACAAGTCACACAAAGCACGACTCTCGCCACAGACCTGTTCACTAGCCAACCCTATGTTATGTATGTCTTATCGTCCTTGTCGCCATTCGCCACATGATCTGAAATGCTCACCATGTATCGGTGTTGTTTATGTCCTTGTTTTGAAAGTGATTCACATTTCCTGATCTAGCGGTGCCTGGCAGGCTTTCCAGGTCGACATCTGGTCAAGTAGTTATGTAAAAATGATTGATAGATGTTTGATTTGCCAATTCTGCATGCCAATGTCATGACAGTTGGGGGGTTTTTTTTATGTATATATTTTTGTTGGAAGGCATGATATTTTATTTTGAATCTTGTTATTTAGAGATCAGAATAAAGAGGTGTGCAATTATTACATTTAGAGTAGAGTCTACTCCTCGTCTGCGTTAATTAATTAAGGATAAGCAGTAACATGTGATCCCTCATTTTAGATACGGTGGCGTTCTGGTCGTGTTTATCGTTCAACCTTGACGGACAAATTAATGAATTTAAATATTCAAGGCATGTGCTACATCGTTCCTTTATTTTACAAAGTAATACGACAGTGAAGTGGTTATCTCTGATCAAAAACAGATAGCTAGGTGACGTTCTAAACGTTCAACTCTGACGCCGAAGTTCATGAATGTTAATCAGCTAAGGGATCTCTGGATTGTTCCTCAATTTCGCCCGATTGCGTCGCGTTCGTTCTTCCTCCAATCTGCTAATATCATTTAGCCGAGATACAATCCTCTAATCTCTTTCGACAGTTTCGTTCAATACTTTACATTCTTGATTAATAAAATTGCAAATCAGGTAACTGAATAGCAATGGCCATAATTGTTTTTTTATGTTTGTAGGTAATGTCAGATTTATTCATAGAATTTCTTGTTTTTACTATGGAACTCGATGTGTATCATGTTTAATTATGCACGTTTTAAGATTTAGGTATGTGGCAAATAATTGTTTTATGTCTTTAAATGACTAAATAGTTCACCCATTAAAAATATTTTCAAAAGCCGACTAGACCGACTAGATAAAATGGACACAAATACTATTGTTATGTAACAAATACAAATGTCTACCATAGATCGCACAGCTATCCTCATGAGGTATACATCTGGTTTATTTTTCGTATTCAAAAGAGTTGTAACATATTTTATATTAATAGGCGAATACGTAAGGAAAAATTAGGTTTTATGTTTGATAGAATGTTGTACAATATTCACGATAGCTGTGTCGCCTAACTAGCCTGTAGCCGCCCACCGCTCTGCATTGCCGTGTTGCGGGACTCCGCACATTCATTGCAGGCGCCCAGACATCCGTCAAGTCGTCTACCCTTCAAAAATTGCCACATGGTTACAATTTAACCGAATTGTACGTTTGTGATAATTTCAATTTATTCCCATTACGATATGTCAATATTTCAACAATCTTTACCGTGCATAAATCGATAACGACGATTTCGATTCTTATTTTGTGTAGTTGAATGATTTTTGTGTAGTAAATAAAAAAAAGGCTTTTTTAAATTTTCAATTAATTTACTTATTTTACCTTGGTACTTTTTTGTGTAATATTAGTTTGAATTATAAAGCTCAATTAGTTATATGACTTGTGAATAAGCAAAAATAATATTTAAAAGTCCATTAATAAGTGATTATTTACGACAATCGACAATCGAATGGAATAATCAATACTCTTTTTTTATCCATACAGATTAACTTGTATATGATAACTGTATCATAAATCCTTAATATCACTTTCGGATGAAATGTTGAAACTCCTCATTTACCTGTCCACAAATGTCCTCTGCTGGCATGCATTTTCGAGTATCATTCATTGACGAAGATTGTGAATGGGTCCATTACGTGATGGATGGGAGATTAGTGGGCGGAGTCTAGCTTATCAGGGCAAAGCCGCGACCTTGATGATCTGTAATGACCAATCAAAGTGGCGACTACCTCCTTCCTGTTGACACCTCTGCCACTGCCACTGACTCTGCCACTTATTGTGCCACTTACTCTGCCACTGCCACTGCCACTGCCTACTGCGTGTGTCATTGCTTGTGTCAATGTCTTGGCAATGTTTGTGTCATTGTGTTGACTACACTAACTACAATGTGAATATACCGCGTGTCTGTATAGTGCATGTGTTATCTGTGCTTAGTATTAGAGACTGGTGAAATAAAATGAAGTGTGGGGTTAGAAGTTTGTGGTGTTAAGGTATGCATTTTTATGGTGTTTGGTATTGCAGAATAGTATATTTTTACTCGCCATTGGTTCATTAATAATTAAAAACGGAAGACCTTTCTGAAGGATTTTGAATTTAAGTTATATAACTTCTACTTCGCAAAAGATACAGTGTAGCACGGTTAGAACAGTGTGCTGTGAATGATCATTAAAACACCAATTTTTAAACCTAATGACAAAAACATAAAAAATAACAGGTTCAAGTAGTTTGTAAACAAAAAATACAATCTAAAGTTTGTGACAAATAATTTATTTACTAAAATTTTTTCCCTCCAGAACTTTTGAACTACATAAAACAATGAAGGTTGCATACCTTATACAATTCAATACAAGTTGATTACAAATGACTATTAAATTGAAATATCAATATCCTATCATGAACACCTCATTGTTGATTCACCAATGCACAGGTTCCGAAATATATAATTGCAACCTGCAATCTACATTATAAAAAATATAAAAGTTACGTAGTTGTTAATATTTTTTTTTAAGTACTCAATGATTGAATGAGGATACCTTGTATCCATGTTTAAGGAATTTAATAGCAAGCATAACATATAGGCCTACTCTTGATCTTGCAAATAGATAAAATCCCAGAGTAATAAGTGAATGTTTCAAGCGACCGATTTTTTTCCCTGTAGGTTGTAAAATACTTACACAGAATAATGTGTCAACTTACAAGTTTTAACATTTTTCATATTTTCACTTTGGTACTTTATTAAAATATAATTGTGAAATACAGTGTTAATCAATAAGGTGTGAATGGTAAATATAGACATTAAATGACCATTAGCTATCTCAACAAGGTAATTGACATTTATTTTGTTTAATATTTCCTGCAGTTAACTGATTTGGCCTGAATGAAAGTTCATTACGCTGGTTATTGCATTTCCTCTTAATCATTAACGCTAATTACTGATTCAGTTATTCAATTATAGCATCATTAGTTACTGTTGGTCAAGTTGGACGAGTTTACTCATCAGTTTGTATCATCATAGATAAACATGACTATGAGAATTGAGTCTTACACAACGTATACAATACAAATTATGTGGTGTGTCTATTAGGTTTTTATGTTTATCTGTTTGTCTCTAATTAGCTAAATGTTGATATTCATTGTTTTCATTAAATTCCCATTAGGGATATTTTTATGATCTTGACACTATTCTAATGAAAACCCCTTTGCTTAATACACACTGTTTCTTGATTTCTGTTTTGATTTTGTTTCTAGCATTGACATTCTAGTTTTAAATAGATATATCTATGGACCTCCAGACCCAATTAGCATTCAAATAAAACAGTTAAAGAAACTGCTCGATGTGTGTGTGTGTGTGTATGTGCCACTGTTAAAACTTAATTTCTTCTTAGTTTTCAATACTTATATAATCATGGAGGTATTAAATATGAAAAAAGTACAGTTGTCTTAATTAAAAGTCGGAATAAAACTACAGAAATCACTATTTGGCATCATGCTGGTGCCTTAATTCAGCTATACCCTTAGCAATATGAGAGTGCCCCTGACCGCCAGGTAAAATACATATGGTCAGGGGCACTCCCATATTGGTAAGGTTACAAGTTCAATTTTGTTCTAAATCTGGCCAAAACGTCAACGTTAACGTTAATAGTGTCTTTTCCTCAAAGGCAAGACTTCTTGCAACCCCAAACAGTTTTCTTGTGGTGCTGGTCTTAGTGACGTGTTTCTATATCTTGGAGCAGGTTTAGCTGCTCTCAAGATAGTGGTTGGTTGTACTTGTACTGATCTGTATGTTTTGTTGACAGAGGTGCGGCAGGAGGCTGTACAACAAGCCCTGGCAGCCATGCAGAACAGACCAAAGCCTTCCCTGCCCATGCCCAGCAAGCGTACCTCCGTCATGGCCAAGAGTCCGGACCGGGACCACCACGACTCCGGTAAGTCTAGCACAGTGCTCAGTGGCTTAACTACCCCACAGCTGTAAAACTACCTTCATGACAATCATTGATAATCTATTAGACTATAGTGAAGCAGATAGACACAGGCTGAATTGTCTTTAGATGGTCCTTTCATCTTTAGGTTATCTAGTAAGCAAGTACTAATGAGTGGCTAATGAGGAACAACTGATGGTGGTAGTGTCCCTGGACTCATTTTGCCAACTACCTTCCGTTTTCATGGTTGCACTGTACGTTATTTGTTCATGGAGTGTTCATATTCTTCAGTCATATTTCTCCGCTGATATTTGGGTTAAAATATACACCTAGGTGGTGTCCCCATCTCAATGATTGATAATTGATAATATTAATTAATATAGTTTGCTTGATGGTGTAGAGTCAGTTTTACAATGCACAGCCACTCTATTTTAAGATGCTCTATTTTCTACAGAGTCGTTCGATTTAGTTAAGCGTTTACTTTATATCCTTAGGTTTCTCTTAACTGATATTTACCTAACTAACCTTTTTATGTAATTAATCTTCTTAATTTTGGAGCTGCTCCGCTCAATTTTATAGTAGCTACGATGTATCCAAAGTTTCATTTAGTTGCCAAGTCCTGACTAACTGCTCCGTAATGCAGATTACAGGGATTAATTCATTTTCTCTAGCACCTAGTCATTCAACCATTAGTACGTTTATCCAGATCAGAAAACAAGGTTCTAGGGAGGCAAATGTGTTTGATCAGATCACTCATTTCATGCCTTCAATAATTCTTTTGTATTTAAGGAATCGTTATCCACTTGTGTCGTGTTTACAAAACTATTTCAACACTACAAAAAACTTAAATTATGAATTTAAAATAATGTACACCAGTATACATTTTCCACTTTGATTCATTGATGCACAAGATTGCTTGATTTATAACCAGTCCCTACTGTGGATGCAACCCAAAGCCATATATTACCTTGTGAAAGTGACAGCTGAGCACATGTAATCGAGTGAGTCATGGTGTTGACATCATGTCATCATGCTGCATGCAGACCATGTGACAATGCTGCCAGTATTCTTTTGTCAGGTGGATGTGTGTCTCTAACCAACCTTCATAGGGTCGTCTGCTTCTTTGTACTCTGTGTAGCAAAACCATCAACTTCGGAATCTTTTATTTTGGCTATCATTTAGATTTTTTTAATTACTTTATTTAATTGCTATAAATTTGCTTCAACTTAGTTTTATCTGCTTTATTTAATCATACTGAGGGGAAAGGTAGCTTTTTTGCCTCAATTCTATTTGATTCTATGTAGTTTTACATACAAAGTTGAAAAGCTATGCTCTATAAAAACACCATAAGTGTAAGTGTTTGTTTATTATAAGGTTGCAACTGACATAGTTTACAGAGGAAGCGTTACTGTACTTGATGCATTAAGCACGATCCTATTTGATTGGTGGTTTTAATCTCATGATACAAGACCTCAAATAAACCCAAACCCGATGTAGTGTAATGTAATCTGAATTGCAGTTCACAGCCAAAGATTTAATCAAAACTATCATTTGATATACTGTACATATTTTTTCTGCTATAAAAACGGTACCCCAGTCAAAAATGGGCATGCTACGTTATATATGATGGTTCATGGGAACCTTGTGACCTATATAGTTGACTAAATATTTTTATTCAAGTATTAATAGCACTTAATTTAAATACATGTAGATTTACATTGTTATAAAGAACGTGTTTTTATAAAATACAATTGCTAAACATCCTGTTGAATATGTTTTTGTGAAAGCTAAATATTTTTATCCTAAAGTTAAAACTTTTTTATATTAAATTCTTTACTGTCTACTCTTGCATAAATTAAATAAGAAATGGGAAGGAGCTGGTCTAGTGGTAGAACTCAAGACTTCGGAGCCTAAGGTCTCGGTTTCAAATCTCACCAATCACCAATGGATTTTATCCATGTGATAATGCCGGGACCCTCTAGGACTAACCTGAAGTATGTGTAAAGCAGTTCTGCTAGAACTACGGTCCTAGGTTGTAAAGTTATTACAATATATAAAAAAAAACTCTTTTGCATAAATGAAATAAGATGTAGGAATGTAGAGATATTTTCAAGTAAATGACATCAGAAAACATTCTGAAAGCATATTTGTTTCCAGAAGATAAATTTGTTTCCTGGCGTTTTCCGTGTTCCCTTGTGTGAAGTAGTTATAAATATTCCATTAGTTGAAGTTGAATTCATCGTGGTAGTTTATGAAAATAAATTTTTTCTATGTTCCATAGCTACCCTTGTTAAGGTAGCATAAAAACACAAACATTTGTTTGATGTTTTAACTTTTATTTCAATTAGATGTATTAAAACTTGAAAATTTACATTGTTGCTTGTTAATCAAAACTAGGTGAACCCGTGCGAATTCGCACGAATAATAAATTATGATATTATAGCAACGTCGTTAGAAGTTGCGTCGTTGTATCGACGTTGGTCTTGAGCTCGATCGTTGGCTATATTCATTCTAAGTTCTTTTTGCTCTTCAGTAGGAGTATTTTAAAGAACGGAGCTCATCATGCTGAAAACTTGCGCGTATGGATTAATATCAACCAAATGTTGAGTCAAAATGTGCATGAGTTCAGTGCTGCAAGAGCCATTAGCTTTGTTTAGCATTCTTTCTTGAACAGCGGTTTCGACGTCGTAGATATAAATTTGGGCATATGTGGGATGCTCCCCTTCTGACGGTTGTAAGGTGCCAATTGAGTGATAAATTGTGCGTGTGTGCGTGCACCTTAAACATGAAAGGCCCTCCGCTGTTATGTTCTTCAATTTTAGCTCGAGTGCTGATCATTGCGAGCGCAGAGTTGTAGGATCTAATGTTCTCTTTGTAGTTTCTGCTCAAATGATTTCCTCCATTTAGTAGGCTCTGGATATAATAGCTCTCTCGGTATGGTGATAGATTCACTTTTCCTTTATGGCAGCAGGATGAAAATCTTTCGCCTCGTCCTCTTTGTTATTCTTTAAAATGTAGCACACCACATTAAATTTTAATGCCATCTCGCCAAGTGAATGCTGCTGAATTCATGTATTTGTCAGTGTAATTTTGTTAGTACACGTTGCCACTAACTGTTCCAACTCCTCGTCTGGGTTCCTTACGTTTTGCATAGCTTGTCGTATGTTGACTCGCCGTGTCCGACCGGCAATATTTCTTTGTCGTTTTCCCGTCGTGTCCTATAGGTAACATTTTTTTCCCGGGTTTCTAATTATTTTTAAAAACATGCAAACTGTTTACATTTAAAATCAAACAAAACATCTGGGATTTAATTTTTTTAACTAATGTATTGACATATGTTTCAGAACATAATAACATTCAAATCAATCACAATGTTATCCTTATGGAAGGAACTTTGAGGGCAGCCCACGCCCTTAAAAAGATATATTTCGAAAATCTAAAGCCAGTTTGCACATCTACACACCTAGACGAACATTTTGGTATATAATATGTGGGGTTAAATCTTAAAATAAAAAAGCATTATTGTTCACAAAGTTTCATGTCGCGTATTAAATATATAGATATACATTGGGCTGGTTTCCAAACAAAATTTCCATTGCTTCAGTTTAGAAAAAAATTTAATTTTTGTTATATTTTTAAACTATACTGAAATCTTGTTAGACTAATCAGCTCATTTAATGGCCTAAAAGATGTCATTAAATGGCAAATTACAAGTAGTGATTCATCCCAGTCAAGTAGACGATGACATCAGACTTACATGATGAGAACACTGTGCTCAGCTTGTTTATGACAAAGTCTGCTTCACTTTGTGGTTTGCACTAAAATACTATTTTGCAGTTTTTAATTATTAATATAGCTTTTGCAGGATTTAGCCAAAGCAAAAGCTCTGTTTGGCAGAATGTTAGTAATTTTTTGAAGTTGTAACTTATTTTATGAAAACATTTTGTCTTAGAATAGTCTACTTAATTACAGTGGTAAAATATAACTGCTGTTTGTAATATTGGATTTTGAAATTAAAATGTTGTAATTTGTTCAGTGAATAACAAGTAGTGTAACCCCGATTAAAATGTAGTAAGTTACCTAACTATTTTTTGTTGTACAAAAGTAATGCCAATGGTTTATACAAGTTGTCAATTATAATGAGTCAGGAAAAACTTATCTTTAAAAAAATGTTTTATACTCTTTCACAGGTTCATTTCATGCCAAAACTGTTTGACTATCAATATTAACATGGATTGTATTGCATTAAAAATCAATTATGAAGGATTTATTAAGGTGTTATCCGAGTGGAAAACAACAGCTGTTGTTGGATGTTAATTAAATTGGATTAAGAAATACCTGTTTGTTCTACTAAAATATACCCTTTATTAAAGAACGTTTTGTTGACTTTTCAAATACAAACTCTATTCCACTGGATTTGATCAAACACTATTCTGAAATCATTTTAGTTTATTGAAGTACGAATATGATTCAGATTTCTATGAAAGTCGGTTTAAACATTGTATTTTCCCCAAAAATATTAATTTGAATTCTGCTGTAAAACGCTGCTTTTTCTCTTCTAAAAAAAGAATTTTGGAAAGTTAGTTTTTGGTAGCTAAACATTGAGGATGTACATCCGTTCGTTCGTTGTAGGCAAATACTTAGATTAGTTCAGTCACCTTTCCAACAGTCTCAACGACAATGGCTTATGTGCCTTGTGATGAGAATTAATAATAATTTAAAATTATATTTTGTTGTTACATGTTATCTGCAATATTTTAGGTAAATAAAGTACTTTTTCTATCCATCTAGCAAGATCGATCATGTGGCAGCTGGCTTATTTCAGCTGTTTATTCAGTTCAGTTGGAGTTAAAGTGACGTTTCCTCTCAGAAAAAGTGAGGAATGTTGAGCGGTTGATGAACTGTCAAGCCGAGACAGAGGATGATCGATGGGATTGTCATGGTGGCTGTGTGGTTATGTTGAAAAACAAATCTTAGACAACAAATATCTGTTCATGATGAGCTTGTAGTTATTTAATGAACTCTAATGCTCTTTAGCACCCAGTTTCAAAACATTGATAGTTTAACTTGATTTTTAACATTTTTGCCTGATATTTTGTGTTCTGTAAATTATAGTTTAAGATTTTAAAGAGATGGATATACTGTAATTCCTTAAAGTATAAAATAAACAATATAATAAACTGTAATGATTTTGAAGTATAATCTTAAATTCCTTTGAGATAAATCTTGATATATCAATCCAATAATTTTAACTGACATACCATAAAATAAAACTTTATTTTGGACTTAGAACTTTACATTGATGATATTCTTTATGATGCAGTAAGCGATCTTCCCTCAAGGTATAAAATTCTGGTTTGAAAGATCTTTTCCAATATAATTTGCATGGAAATATCATTTCCAATATCGTTTTCATGATTCATTCGCTTTTATATGGAGACAAATTTGGTTTTAGGAGTACACACAGGTGATATTTTGATACACTAAAATATATTGGACATTTAAAAGCTATGTACTTTTTAAGTAAAAATAATTTAAATTTTTATAAATGCATTTTTTTTATAAGAACTAAGAAAGACCAATTTGTCAACGCATTTGTTGTGTAATTTACACCTTTTTCAACTTAATCTAACCTTACCTTAGACAAAATTAAAATATGTTATAATATTGTTGTAGAATATTCTAATTTTCATCTTTCTCGCAAAATACATATTTTATTATTAACATTCTAGCCTTTGAGTATAAAAGAGTGTGCCAAGATATTAAAATGTAAAATCATATCTCTCCTTTGTTCAGACAACTTTAAATAAGTTGCTTTGACAGGCTTACTTTGAGCAGAGAGGTTCTTCATTCTTTTTCAAATATCATTCGCCATTATTCATACAAATCCTCCCCAGTCAGCTAGTCTGTCTGTTCTTGCTGTTAATTAGTTGTCAACCCACGGGTATGCCACCAGTTAATTTAAAACAAAAATTGTATAATTTTATTCCTTGAGCTAAATGGTATTCCTAGATAAGTTTGTAGATTGAAAAATACATTGACACATATAATTCAGTAAAGTGGGATTGTCACTACTTTTTAAAAAAGTACTTAAAACATTTTGCGCTTATTCTGTAGTGAGTAGTAGTGAATGGGTTTATAACCTTATGAAAGCTTTCCATATCAGAAACAGGACATTAAATCCCCATGTCAAATTTGTAGTGTTTCTAATCAAGCCAAACCTGAAAGTAAACCCTATTGTAAAACTTTTTTCCACATAAACTATGAACGATAATTAAAGTGGAAATGAAATTTTAGACAGTAGCAGCACACACTGTAATTGCCTTTTTCAACTAATTTTTTTAGAATAAGTAATTGGCTACAACTGACCCATGTACAGGGTGGCCGAAAAAGAACTAGCCTACCTAGTTTTAAAATGTATTTATTTATTGTACAATATGCCAATTACAATGACTGATACAAAATGAAAGGTAATGAAATAAAAGTTTTTTAACACTAGTACACCTCGATATGCGAACCATTTGTAGACCTGCAGATATCCAAGCAATTTTTTTTTATTATTTATTACCAAAAATATGTTTAAGGTCAAGCAGGTGTATCAAACTTATTGCCATTGTACGAAACTAACACTTACAAAAGTATACGCTACAGCACCAAAGGATTATTACTAATCCATTTGAACTATTACTATTACTATCGTAAGAGGTATTTTTAAAACTAGGAAGTTCTTTTTCTGAAACCCGGTACAGTACATATATGTAATGTCTAACTTAATATACAAAATTCAGTGGTATATTCTATTCTCATACTATCAATGGTTGTTATTACATATTCCTTAATGCATTCATAAAACACCAGACAATAAACGTTTATGAACTGGGTAAAGCACACCTGGTTTTATTCATGTATGGCACAAACGACACCCAAGAGACAAATTTTCATGCTCAGCAATGTATCAACTTAATGGGAAATATGCGACGTATATATTTTTTAATAGGGCAACAAACTAAGTTGTATGAAATAATGTCTCTAAAGTGTAACACTTTTACGTAGTTTTAAATTTTATTTAAGCGTTTTTTTAGTGTACATTGTCTAAATTGCATAATCTGTATCTTGAGATGTAACGTGCCAGAAAAAAAATTGACTGATGATTTAGTTCGGTCTTTGTTAGTTCTTTTAATGAGTATCCTTAGACATAATGTGTACAGTATTTGCTCTTTGTCTAATCTAGTTGTAAGTTGTCTGTCAACAGCATTGTAGGTGTCTTAATTGCTAAAGACCAGAGATTGACAAATACAACATCAGTGACACTCAAAATCAAAGCTTAAGTTTATGAACATAAATATATAATATTTGTTAGAAAATTATATAAAATATTCTTAAATGTGTCTGTGAGATTTATTTTATTTTATTTTTTTGTTATTAATTGTTATATCAAACAAAATCCCTTTTTTTGCCATTTCCCTGAAACCAAAACAGCTCTGTACTTGTTTATTTTAGTGTCACTGACATAATTTGCTTAGTGGTACGGTCCATGTTCCTATATTAATCGTATCTTCAGTGTCTATATTCTGCGCCTTCATCTCCAGACACATTGTTGTGGTAACACTGCTGTGTATGCTGAGTAGTTTCACTTATGTAAATTTAACATGTCATGGATGTATGTTAATTGTTTGTTTCCATAATGAGATTGAGATAGCTCCGCTCCAGTGTTTCAATGTACATTGCACAGCAAACATTACCTGTTATTGATGGTAGCACAAATATGTGTTAGTCAAATTACCCATCAATAATAACAAGTCAGTAATATCAGAGTTTTAGTATGGATGAACTAATATAGTTTTATTTTAGGCCTACTCCATCTCTCGGTCTAGGTTTTCCAATTTTTGTTCAAAAATGAATCAATCTAATTTAAATCCTACTAATTATTTATTCCCTTCCTGGAAAGGATCCTCTATTAAAAATCATGTCTTATTAGTTGAAATGATATTGTATGAATAAAAAATAGTTTTTTGTACTACTGTGTCAACACCATTGCTAGTATTCAGCCACATTATCCACTAGGCTGAGAGCCGTGTAGTTGTAAAACCTGTCAGTGATTCACTGTGGTTGAGTGACATTGGTGTAGTTATCTGTGGTGTTGTTAACTCATACATTAACCTTGGTTTGTGGTTTTATCAAGAGTCTGACCCGAGCCAGTTCATCAACCAAAGTGTTGTTTGGAATCAACTCCCTCTCAACTGTCGATTGAATTATTAGATTTGTCTGGTGAAAAGTATTCACACAAAAAAACATTTTTTTAAAGAATTATTATTTGTTAACCTCAGGTAATGTTAAGTTTGTATACTATTTTACTCTCTTTGAAATTCAAAGCATATGATGGCAATCAAAATTTAAACAGTTAACAGTGAATTTTGTTTGAACACTATCCTATTTAATGTTTAAGTTTAGTAAGACAAACTTTTTGTTTATGCTTGAATAACCTCAACCTCTAGTGAAAGATTATCTCTGATTCAATATAGTGTCTATATTCTTTTATCTCTTACCAGTTTGAGCATCAGGTTTTGGTGACATGGATGGATATGGATGAAGCCGAAAAAATGTTATGTTATTTAGCATTAAATACTATGCTGAAATATAATCTGCATAAAGTTTCAAATAAGTAATTCATCTTTTAATAATTGCTTAAGTGGTTGAATACAGTGTTACAACTGGTTAACAGTGTACACTTGTATTCACTACTTTTATTTGCTTGAAGAAAATGACTATCACTTAGAATGGAACACTATTTTTTTTGTAAACATTAAATGAGAATGGTCATTGGTGGCCTGTGAATGTTTAGTGGTTAGGCCCTGGAAAAAACAACCTATACATCTCCTTCCTAAAGGGGGCTACATTTTCATAGAAAAAGTGCTTCCACATGCCTACACTAAGTCATTTACTAGGAGCTCTCGAGGAGTAAGCTATCCTCTCACTTGCATAAACTAGCCTGACTATGATCATTTGGGTTGTGTATCGCACCTACATCTGTAGAGACTTAATTTTGACCATTTAATTTTTTTAACGTATCGTTTTTCATAATTTTAAATTGGAGTACAGAAAAAAGGCAAAACACGTTGTTTATCTGACTTGTCGAGGTACTTATGAATGATCACCGATATGACAGACAAGGGAATAGAAGGATCTCCTAGTCTCTGTCGATATTTACTGCATTGACTAGCAACTGATCATCGACATTTGTTTTACGATATTGCTTTGATACTTGTCACTAATAATCTACTTGCAACTGATCACCGACGTTTGTTTTATGATGGTGACTTTAGTTGTGACAGAACACTGACGTGTTGTTACAGCATCCAGCTCGGATGACGAGAGTGTGGGGGGAGGGGATGCTGGCAGTACACCCGAGAGAGAGAGAGTGAGTAGCCGAGGGGTGCAGCCTCTACCTCCACAGTCTGACACCAGCAGCACTGGGTCTGCACGAGAGACACCTCCTCAGCAGCGACAGATACACAGGCACACAAGGTAACACACAGGGAGAACACGGACCATTGAAATATTATACCACATATAACTTTCAGCAATCAATACGGAAAGATCATAACCCATGTACTTCTAATGGCAGTTTTAGCATCACCTAACTGTCTAAAGACATTCACATCTACAAAAAGGCCCCTCTCTTTTTATTATTTTCCTACACTTTTTACCATTGTCACACTGAAGTTCAAATGCTTCTTGGAGCCTTCACAAGCATCACAAAGTCAGTTAATGGAACAATGACAATAGGCATGATGTTTCTAGTAATGTTAATAGCATGCCTGTCTCCCATAATACCTGTCTGGACAAGAAATGGAGTATAAATGTGCTTTGTCATTGCAAATATAATTAAAGCTAACCAATGCCTGAAATTGAATCATTGATTGGAATTTCAATATCATTAACATTCAAATAAAGAGTGTTAATTTGAACAAAGGAGGTCTACCTTGCATTTAATATACTATTAGGATACACCAAAGAAATTGTGTATGTCTTATTTCATGCATGTAATGAAACTACTTTCTTTACTCAACAGTACTATTGGTTGATAGGTTACCAAACGGTGGTGGTGGACAGACGGTATGGGAGGAACACAAACGCAACAAACACGAGATCACAGACTTGGCAGACGTCATGCACAACCTCAGACCTTGTGAGTACATACAGCTTCAACACATGTTGTATCTCTAGTTGAATAATAACTAAAAGCTATTGTAGGATAACTAGTTTTCTATTTGTGTAATTGGAAATTCAACAAGTTAGTACATTATGTCTATTATCCCTATGTCAGTAGCTGAATGTTGGATTTAACGATTTCATTCCCTTCTGCTGTTCATCATTGAGAATTTTTCATGATGTACTAATTTCTCAACCCATTCCTTAATTTGGTAGCAGCTTTTGTAGGAAGCACTTTCAATATATTAATAACCCATAAGTGTTTAATTGTAAAGTAACATACTGATACTTGATTGTTTGTATTCCAAAACTCTTCTTCATCTTAATCAAACATATTTTTACTCATCACTACATCACCAAATGTCATCGAAGTTGGATAGTTTGACAGTAATCGCAAATCTAGTTCTTACTAAGATGTTTTCATTTCACTAAAATCAACGTACCTACTCATGTTGATGAAAGTAATATAACTGATCTGTATCTGTTATACTTTGTGGGTTAAATTGGTTGAATCAGGGTTCAGCAGAAGTTATAACTAGCTTGCTATTAAATAACCTCCTCAGGCAGTGTTCATGTTCAACATATTACACTAGCAGTACTGCAAGTTTGGAGCAGACAGCTGTTAATTGCTTTCTTGAAACATCCCACACTGCTGTATGTTTTCAGCATCAAAACTTGCATTAATTTCAGTTGAGATTGGTATTTGTATTTGTTTAACGGTATCCATTTTAATACTTATTTACGGATAGTCATAGTTCCTCAACCTGTTATAATGAGGTTTTGACCAAACGTAGGCATGAGGTCTGGATGAGTTTTGTATTTTACAATGAGATAAGGAACAAACTAGATATAGTTTACAGATGAAGGGAGTGATGTTATCAAGACTAAATTTAATAAGGAAGAAAGCTAGAGATCAGAAGAAAAGTTGCTAGGAGAATGAGATCCAGTTTATTGAAGCTGTTTTTTTAATAAGAAAACACTAAAGTTTTCCTTATTGAGTGCTTGCAGATACATATTACTTAATTTATGTGTTTTCAGATTCTGTTACAAAGAGTCTTTACTTAAGTATCAAAATGAGTTTAGCTAAAATCGTCTAATTTGTGGTATCTTAAAGAAACTACCGTTTATTTGCATAAATAAGTACTACAATTAATTTCTACTTGTCAGATTCACAACCACCGGACGTAACGCACAACACCGCACAGTCAAGACGCATTACTCCAGCGGACAGAGTCAACAGATATAACTCTTCACGCCAGTCTTCGGACGACGGAATGGGTCAGTACTGACTTATACTGTAGTACTGAACATAATTTAGAACATAACTTAGAACATAATTTGTTTTGATCAAATGACAGAATATTTTAATATAGGAATAAAAAGAGAGATAGGACTATAGTTACTGTACAGTAACAGACAAGAAAAACCTTTTACTGTGGTAGTGATCAACATTTTGTTTCATTAAAACAAAAATTAAGACTTTTTTTATATATTTCTTGTCAGAAACTCTTAACATTTGATGTTGTTTTCAAATGATGTTTTGAATTTACAAATGTAACAATGATACCGTACCTTGTGCAATAGGTTTGTGCAAACTTTGGAATCTTTTGTTTCTTCAACATTTCACACTGGTTAAACACTATTCTTACATAATGCATTGGGTTTTTGCAAAATTCTGCACCTCTTCCCTCAACATTTTTCACTAGTTCTAGAACTGCTCTTTGAAAACTCTTGCATTGAATCTTTTGCCATTTTGAAGTTCCGTACTGATTGAAGCCCCAAGTCAATGCCGCAGATAGTTCTAATGTCCATGGTGGGTTGCAGGCACAGTGACCAGTACGGGTCGATGGAAAGTGTCAGCCAAGATACAACAGTTGCTCAACACACTCAAGAGGCCCAAGCGACGGCCGCTGCCAGAGTTCTACGAGGACGATGACATCGAGCTGGAGATTGCTGCCAACCCTAAGGACCCCAACGCTCCTAAACCTGAGGGTGGAACCATGACTCCTGCCATCGGGGATCAGCTGGTGGTCAGTGACTTTTAGTAAAAAATTTTAAGTTCCAGAACAGACTAAAAATTATAACGTGGATATTATTTATACTTCTTCTTACATAAAATTTACCCATAAAGCTATATTTTGTTTCATAGCCCCAGAATTGTGTGATATACCATGTACTGGGTAAAACATACGTCACTAAACAATCTTTGACATGTGGACCTGTAGATAACATGCTACATACATTTGTGTCAACAGTTATTGAAAACTTCCTCATCATCAGGTTGCAAAACTACCAAGCTCAAGCTGAAGTTTAAAAGTGATATATTTACTAATATTTATATTATATTTGTCTCTTTATTTACTGTTATTGTGGAATAGGTAATCCTAAAACATATCAAGGCTCAAATTTTACAAATGTTTCAATAATAATACTATAAATGATCATATTCTATTTTTATTTACTTATTCATATTAATTAGATTAATTTTGAATTTATATATTCTTTAAGACAAAGGCAAATAAAAATGTTTTGTTCCCAATGCGTTTTGTAACACGGGAATAACATAATCGTGCTCCCACAATTGTCCTGAGATATGTAGTTATTTCCCATGGGGTGTGTTTCACAACTCCAGGACTGGACCTTGACCATTCTTGTGTTTATTTCCAGCCTTTTGTTGTCTTATCAACCTTATCAGCTCCCTGTTCCCTTGAATGTCCTCTAAACATTATTTCTCTATGAGTCTTCTTCGCCATCACACTTATCTCTGCTGGCTGTAGCTATGTAGAAGAATATGTTTCCTAGTCTTTTTCACATACTGTAGTGCGCTTGGGGTTTGTAATTCTTAGAATGATGAATAAAATGATCAAAATCTATCCGCTGTATGAACTAAAGGTGATTATTATCTAAATTAATTCACAAAACCCATTCAGATTTTACCCACTATTTTATTTTGAAAACTGAGTTTATTAATAAACTTTGCCTATTAGACACAGTAAAAAAAAAACTTAAATTTACGATATAAATAACATGTAACATAGATTAATAACGTTGTCCATATAAATGATTTTGAATGATTTTACATGATTCTTTTAGCACTTTTATGACTATTTCATTTTTTAATTTTGATGGAAGATTATATTTTTTAAAAAATTCGTCAACAAATTTTGTAATAGTCCCTCTTGCACCAATCATTATGCCAATTACTGATATTGAATTTAGATTATATTTGTTTCTTAAATAAGTTTCACATTTACTATAAATTTTCCTCTTTTCTTCATCTACTTCTAGGGGTTGGTTTGATGATGTTTCGAACCTTATTGTTGGATCAATTACAATTCCACTTTTAGATTTTGTATCATAAATTAAAATGTCCAATCTTCTGTTCGATCCACCATCTTCAGTGCAATGTATTTCTTCTACTAGTTGCCAGCCTTTTTTTTGTAGTTCTTCTGCGTTTTCAGTACTGTAAACACTTCTTCACTAGGCTTGTTTGGAAGTGAACAATGCAAACAAGTTTGTATTGTCAGTAAAATCAATCGTTCATTAGCTTTGTCCTATCAGCAAATTAATTAGTCACCAAAGTGTTGGTGTTGGGGCAAATACATTGCTCCACTGTTTGATAAATAATTAGTTTTACTTGATAATTGGCCAATTTGAGCCTTGTAAAAATAAATATTAATGTTGCTAGCATTGTTTATTAGTTGTTGTAGTAATGTTTTACTGTTTTTATCATTAGTTTTAATGTGAATTAAAATTTTTCCTGTTGCAGGTACCGTCAGGGTTACCACGAAACCTAGAGGCTGCTATCCAGAGGTATGGCTCGGCAACGTACAAAGCCCCCGTGGCAACAGTGCTGGACCCCAATGGAAAACTCAGTATTACGCTTACTTACGGTTAGTATTGCTACTTCTGTACTATTATTAATTGATTTTATTCTTCTTGTGAACAATATTATAGTGCTTGTAGAAATCCTTTGGAGCATCTTTAACTCACCTAATCATTAATAGATTCGGATGCTACTGTCAAGGTTTTTATGTCTGTCGCTTATCCAGTCTTAGAGTAAATGAAATTGAGTTTAGACTTTTTTATTTTCTTGTTTCAGTGTGTTTTGCTAATCAATAGGAAAATATATTTTGTTGTTGTTTTTCATCACTCCTCTGTCAACCCACTTAAATGTTCACTTGCGATGTTGTTGCAGGCAAGCTGTTGAGCCGGTCGCAGAAGGTCGCGTACACATTGCTCAACAAGTCTTTCAGCAAGCCTGGTGATGGGACGTGTCTCAAGTGTGGCGACCGCATTGCTCTAGTCTACCCCAACAATGACCCGATCAACTTCATGTGTGCATTCTACGGCTGCATGTTGGCTGGCATCGTACCTGTGCCCATAGAGGTCCCTCTCACCAGACGGGTAAGTCTTGCGATCATTCTTTTAGAAGCTTTATAAGTGGAAAGTATTTAAGATTTGAATATTGAGTAGAGAATATTAGGAATTCATTGTTTTACTGACAGAATATGTTAACATAGCTTACTGTCAGATGTAGATCAACCCTTGAACTAAAATTTTAGAATTTTACTGAGAAGTTTTTGTGGCAAAATATTTTAGTTGTTGAAATTAAAAAATAAATGAAAATTTTGGCTTTTGATTGTTGGGTGAATGATATGGGTGGTTGATTTTAGTTCTTTCATTCATATTATTTACCTCTTGGATTGAAATATAAAAAAAAAAATGGGTTGATACCTTTTACTACCATTAATCCTTATGTTTTTTGATGGCTATATTGGAAAAATAATAGAACTGATAGTGGTGAAAGGCAACTTACCTACTCATTTTGCAAAGATCTTTGAAAATAGCCAGGGAACTATAAATGTCTCTACGTCCATATCTATCACAAAAGCATAAATGTGTTTAAAATGTTTCTATTCAAAAAATTTCAACAGTGTGTTGCTATATATCGTTCAGTTGAGAGTAAAATCGTAGTTGATGGTGCTTAGCTTTCTGCCTTATTATTAAACACAAGTAAATTTCCTGTTGAAATTTTGCATAAACACACATACATAAACCTTTGACGCCAACATGCTTTGGAATTTGTTCCTTAAACTATTAATTTTGTATCAGCCTACTAGTATGAATCATAATAATATCCTAGCACCAATTTATAGTTCCACTGAATGACATATGTTCCTCATGTATGCAGGACGCAGGGTCGCAACAGATAGGGTTCCTGCTGGGCAGTTGTGGTATCCAGGTGGCACTGACCTCTGAGGCGTGTCTCAAGGGACTGCCCAAGACTGCGGCAGGCGAGGTAGTCGCATTCAAGGGCTGGCCCAAGCTGCACTGGTTCGTCACAGAACATCTGCCAAAGACACCCAAGGACTGGCAGGCTTCACCTCGACTGACTGATGACACCCCAGCTTACATAGAGGTGACTAGAGCTTAGAAATAACAAGGGACATATTCTCATAATCACACATCATAAACAAACTATATAGCCTGCTTATTTGATTTAAAATTTGTATAGAGTAAGCAAGTATCGTGGAACAGCTGTGGAATCCTCGTAACATTTGTGGTTGGACTGTCCGGCATTAGCATGGCAAATTAGTTTCACGATTGTAAATTATAGACTCTATAGACCTTGTTTTCTTTCTTTCCTTGACAAACGTACCACAAAAATCAAAATATAACTTTTTTTAAGTATCAAGGCAAATACATCTTTTAAAACATTGGTTATTTTATATGAAACTACTGACCTCTTGTCCATATACATTTTTAGTAAGATTCATAATAAAAAAAAGAATAATTTAATAATGAAGTAAACTTGTAGCTAACTATTCTAATGCACATTTTATTGAGATTCAAATCACACAGTGTTGTTATAACTTTACGCTAATCATGTTATTGATGTATTCTTGGGTCCTCCACAGTACACGACGGACAGAGACGGCTCAGTGATGGGAGTGACAGTGACTAGGTCGGCCATGTTGTCTCACTGTCGCATGTTGACTCAATCCTGCAACTACACTGAGGGAGAGAACATGGTGTGTGTGTTGGACTTCAAACGAGAAACGGGTCTATGGCACAGTGTGCTGACCAGTATACTCAACGGCATGCATGTGGTCTTCATACCTTACGCTCTCATGAAGGTCAACCCGGCCAGCTGGATGCAGATGATCACCAAGTATAGAGGTTAGTCTGTAGTATTGTTGCAGTACAATTCTCTAGTTTTGTGAAATCTTTAAAATTCAGTTTAATTTCCACTTAAATTTGAATTGTACATCTAATTTAAAGTAGTGTGTAGCTGAGTTACGGTTGTTGGTTTGATATTGGGAAATGTCAGCTATTTTGTATGTTTTAAAATTGCATATGGCTGCCCTTTATTGGACTTTTAATTAATGACTCTGTCTAAAGGAGCAGCTAGTCTTAGTGACAATGCTACTGAAGTCATCGAGACCGTCCCACATTTGCCATTTATTCATATTTTATTTCAAATACGTCTCATTTACATTCACAACTTACACGATCGTGTTATCAATGCTAAAGTTCCCTAAAGATCGCCATATGCAACGCTTTTACTCTCAAAATTTTCAGTGCTATCCTTCCTCCAGCAAGTGATGAAACATCTAGAATCCATGCAAATATGTTTACATGTAAAACATATACTTCATCTTATGGTTTTTGATTTTTCCTTTTTCCCTGTTTCTCCTTGTTTTGTTTTTAACCAATTCTACATTCAGTGAATTTTCTTCCTTTTGACGCTTTAGCCATAAATAACTGTCAATCCTCTAAAGCAATTATAAATTCACTGGCTCTTCTTCAGCCTTTTATTGCTTTGACTATAAAGAAACAGGTTATAATCTTTCCCCCAAAAATTTGATAAGCGTAACCGATTTTACATTCAGCGACTTTTCTACAATTATTACACTCAAGGTACAAGCACTATATTCTGTTACAGCAAGTGTGGCCGTAGTCAAGTCCAGAGACCTACACTGGGGGCTGCTGGCCACCAAGGATCACAAGGACATTAGTCTCAGCTCGCTGCGTCTGCTGCTGGTCGGTGACGGAGCCAACCCTTGGTCTCTGTCCTCGTGTGATCAGTTCCTCAGTGTCTTCCAGGCAAAGGGTCTCAGACCGGACGCTGTCTGTCCCTGCGCCAGCTCCAGCGAGTGTCTCACAGTTTCTGTCAGAAGGTAAGGCGTTTAATTAAAATTTGATTTGTGATTTTGTTCATAAGAAGTTTTGTATCACAAGTTTTGCTAGTGAATGTATGTAGGTTAAGTAAATATATAGATACTTCAGGTATCCCTTCATTTTACATAAATATTAGCCCCAGTGAAAACCAATAAAAGGCCCTCTAAAAAACACTGGAATACACAAATGCTGACAGAGTTATGCAGATGCGATTTTGCAAAAACCCAAAGCATGCAGACAGGTAATGTGCTTGATTATATGCTGGCTTGTTATGTATTTTTCCCATGTATGTTTACAGGCCTGGCAGAGCTGGAGTGAACGCCACAGGTAGAGGAGTGTTGTCCATGTCAGGTCTCAGCTATGGAGTGGTCCGTGTGGATCAGGAGAACTCTCTCACATCACTCACGCTCCAGGACTGTGGACAGGTCATGCCTGGATGTGAGTATTTTTTTGTTATTGTTGACGTACAATACTTTACTCAAAGCTTTAAGCTTTACTCAAGGATAAATACTCTACTCTTTCATGTGAACTTTTAAAAACTATAAACATTGTCTATGGGTACTGGAGTATCCTACCTAATGGACTAGCTGTAGCCAATGTTTTGATCAAATTGAGCACTCACAGAGTTTGCTACTGTGGATTCAATTGTCTCCCTTTAGTTTATATGACATAGCAGATGCTTTAGTTACTGAAGGCTGCTATTTCAGTGGGTAATAGGATAGTGCATTTGACATAAATGAGTAATTGACATCATTGCAATCTGTCGGTGGCTTAACTCAACTTCAACTATGTTAATATTTATTTCAGAACTGGCTATAATATTTTAACATGGGAATGAGATGTCTTCCATTAATAGTCAAAGAAGTAACTCTGGCAGTTAAGTTTGTGCGTATGCTCTGTTTTTATCCAAATGTAATCCAAACTAACCGTGTCAGCAAATTGCTCTCTGCAATCACAGAACAATACCCTTGATGAGTGATGAATTAAACCTTTTGTTCTTACTCAACACAAAATATTAACTACCTCAATTATCAGCGTCCATATTCAGATTACATACACTTTTTATATACTCTGTGTTCTAAATCTGTAACTTTTGGTGGCTTTGGGATTTGAGATTTGGTTTTGAGACACCTTTAGTAAGGGTTGAACCCACTTCTTTACACACTGTACGTCTCTGTGTTGCTGTAGGTGTGATAGTGGTGGTGAAGATGGAAGGACCGTCGTACCTGTGTAAGACTGATGAGGTGGGAGAGATATGTGTAAGCAGTGAGGCTACAGGCAGTCAGTACTGGGGACTGGCCGGTCTCACAAACTCTACGTTCAAGGTGCAAGCTCTGCTGGCAGACGGAAAACCTCTGAGTGACGCGCTCTACACTAGGTCTGGCCTACTGGGCTTCCTTGGACCGGTACGTTACACTTCCTGACTTAAATACTGTTTGTTTAAGGAAAGCTTGTGCCAGGATTCTGAATTCTAGAATAAATAGTAGCTAGCCTACCTTTTAAAAAAGTTCTATGATTTAGAAGCTCACATTAGACACTATAACTATTGAATTTTATGGATGCATACAAACGTCCATTGGATACATTGTTTCTTGACTTTCCTTTTAATAGATTTGTATGAAGATTTTTTCATTTCTAAGTTTGGACATATTGTGGTTTCATAGTCAAGTAAATCAAATAAAAACATTATCAGAACCTAAATTTAGATTTAGTTTAGGTATAATAATTTTTTTATTTACCATATTACACTAAAATATAAGTAGCCAACCCAATCTTCTGTTGTTTTATGATAAAGACAGTCATTGTGTACTGTTTGCAGGGTGGTCTTGTGTTTGTGTGTGGGTCGCGGGATGGCCTGATGACAGTGACTGGTCGCAAACACAATGCAGACGACATCATCGCTACAGTTCTCGCAGTTGAGCCGATGAAGTTCATCTATCGCGGTCGCATTGCAGTGTTCAGCATCCGAGTGTTGAGAGATGAGAGGATATGTGTAATTGCTGAGCAAAGACCTGACTGCAGTGAGGAGGAGGTTCGTTTAGTGTTTTTAGCTTCTTTTGTATACTTATTTTAACACTTATATTAATGAATTACAACCTTTTATTTTATGTTAAATGAACTTGTATTGATAAATTTTAAGTAGACCTAGCAGACTGGACATTGCTGCCATGTATTCGTTTTCTGTTACATTGTCAACTAAGCTTCTGACTCACCAATCAATATTAAGTGTTTGACTAAAATACAATTTTTAACAGCTGATTTGATGAACATTCATAATTTAGTTGGGTTAATATGTCCTAAATGATCTATTCATCTGTCTGTTGCAGAGTTTCCAGTGGATGTCGAGAGTGCTGCAGGCAGTAGACAGTATACACCAGGTGGGCCTGTACTGCCTGGCGCTGGTGCCGCCTAACTACCTCCCCAAGACACCTCTAGGCGGCATACACCTGTCGGAGTGCAAGAGGAGGTTCCTGGAAGGCACTCTACACCCAGCCAACGTACTGCTGTGTCCACATACGTGTGTCACCAACCTGCCCAAGCCTCGTGAGGTCCACTCAGGTAACCACTGCTATAAAACATTTTGTACAATTAGTATTAAAAGAAACGCTGCGGACAAGCCTTTTTTTTAAGGCTTATGCAGTTTGGTATTGTAAATTCATTGTATATGTGCTGTATTAAGTAATAAATAAATGAATAAAATAGTAAAAATTATATTGTTTTATTTTCTTAATATTTATAGACAAAAATAAAACCAGCTCAGAACTCTGGTTCTTTATAAATGTATTTTAAAACTCTTTAACTGACTAAATGGTTGATTAATAATTGTTTATAACCACGCCTCCGCCTACTTAACATTTTATGTTACCTGTATTAACAAAAAAACTAACAAGCCATTCAGCTATGTTTAAAATGTTTCCGTTTCATATCAAAGAGTTATGCATTTTTAAGTCGGTATACCTCTGGAACCGAATTCCTGCGCTCTAACCCTAGACCAGCTCGCTCCCCTTGTTTTCAATATGACTTAAACATTCAACTGTAAGATCAGTTGTTGAAATTACAATTCGCTTATAAAACTGTTGTAACGAAAGTTTGTTAGCATCACTGGATATCTTTGAAAACAACTTCTAGAGATGTAGAAATAAATTAAATGGTATGGGGTCAAAGAAAGACCTAAAGGAAATTATCTTTCTAGGTACCATTTGTCTCTCAGCTAGATCATAAACTTTAGAATGACACCGCAATCGTAAAAATCGGTTGAGTAGGATGGCTGAAAAAAGGGATGTTACTCATATTGTATTAAGTTTATAGATTCACCATGTATTTTATATGTTAATGTTTTGTCATACTAAATATTTAACCCGCATGCTTTTACGTCAGCAATCAGCTGTTACTGTGGTTTGCTTTTTAAGGAATATAACATATTTTCCCTGATTTTACGTAATCGATTACATGTTTTTTTTTGTGTGTGTTCCATTTTGTTTTCTAATCTATTTTTATTCTTTGTTCCTTGACCATCATAATACCATGATGCACAGTAACACAACAGAACAATACCGCTTTTGTGAAATTGATGAAAATTGTTTTTAAATGTATGTTGTACATGTTCAGACCAAAAATTGTTTAATCCAGTGACTATTCCTTACCTATTGTTTGTTAAGAAAATTCAACTTATTAATTTGAAGTTGTATCTAAATTTCATCACTTTTTTTAAAGTTACACTGTAGGGAAATGAGTGGTTGTCGTGTTGGCAGCGCCGCAGGTAACAGCTGATTGCTCTGGCTGATTGTTGGTGTTGTTGTGAGTGTGTAACGCTAGCTGTGTCTCTGTGCTAGCCTCTGGCTGTGTTCCAGATGTGGGTCCCGCCAGTGTGATGGTGGGCAACATCGTACAAGGCAACAGACTGGCGAGTGCGCAGGGCCGAGACATGGGCATCCAGGACGAGGAGTCTGACTCTGCAAGGAAGGTGAGCAAGCAACACCTCCGTTAGAAGATGTTTTTTGGGTGGATGTTCTTCTAAGAGAAAAAAATAGTAGACATTAGGTTTTTTGGAAGGAAATTGATTTTTGTTGGGTTTGTAAGACAATACAGTTATAAGCAGTTGAATTAGGCAATAGTTTCAAGAAACCAATTTTTAGTAATGGCTTTTGTGTTGTGTAGGTGTAATAAATATGTTTAAAATTATGAAACAAGGGTTTTGATTAAAATAAGGTTTGGTTCTTTTCCGTTAATTCCACTACTTTTTTTATTGCAATTCCGATATTTTTAACAGTTAGCCTATTATAAAATTAAACTATTCTAAACTAACCCAATCAACCAAACTTGCTGATTATGAAAAAATTCTGGTATTGAATAAACGGAATTGCAACAACAAATTAAAAAAGAAGTGGTAGTGAATTAACGTTAAAGGACCTAAGGTTTATTTAATTAAAGAGAAAAAGAGTATTTTTGTGCAAAGTGATTTCTATTAAATTAATTCAACTAACTTATTTGTAAAAGTTTGGTAGGTGTAATTTTAATTTGTCACTTGAAATCAATCGTGCTAATGTGGGCTTTACCCACACTAAAAAAAACTGGCCGTAATGCTCGTCAAGCATGACGTCACAATAGGAGACGGCAAACAGTGTGGCCTTGGCTTTACTTTGACTGAGTCATACATTAAGATGTCAAGGTTTGCACCAAAAATATTTAGAATAAGTTTTAAATCATTAGTTAAGGTACAGATTTAAAAAGTATTAAAATTATTAATTCTTATAGTTTTAAAGATAGAGTTGTCCATTGATAAAAAACTTTGGTTCACTGTTCAGAACTGATATTTCCTCCTTTGGATCTTCTAGTTATGTGTGTGTGTTGGGAAGGGTAGAACATAAACTTAACTACTCCACCATACTAAGAGAAACTTGACATTAAACATGACTCATGAAAGAACCTTAATTATAATTATACAGCTTGTGAGCAATGTTAGCCATTTTAAAAGGTCGTAGTAACAGCCATTATAATTTTTCCAGTATCAATTCATCTCTGAGATACTGCGGTGGCGAGCAGTGAGCACTTCTGAGCACGTCATCTTCACACTGCTCAACGCCAAGGGAGGTGTCGCTCAACTGCTCACTTGCTCACAGCTACATAAGAGAGCAGAGCGAGTCGGCTCACTGCTGCTCGAACGAGCAAAAATAAACACTGGGGACCATGTGGCGCTCATCTTCCCACCGGGCATTGATCTCATTTGCGCTTTCTACGGTTGTCTGTATGTTGGTAAGTGACGTGTGGTTGAGTTAACTGACAGATCTGTAAATTTAGATGTATAATATTCTTGTAATAACAGCTGTTTTTAGACTACACTCAGTGGTCAAGCATTCTACTGAACTTCATAAAGTGCCAGATTAGTTATTTACTTCCATACTGTTATATTTTCATATTAGCAGTAGATTATCTGTTGATTTATTTGTAGAATTTCCCCCTATTCACGCATGTAGAGCTTTTTTTAAACTGCACTCAGTAATCTAGCAGTTAAAAGTTCAAAAGGTAGCAGATAAGTTAGGGTTTCTGCAGTACTAGTAAACTTAATAAATGGTAAATTCTTAATCAGCTGTAGAAATAAACTGCTCTGCCTATTTTGAGATGATAAAACCACATCATCAAGGAATAAGGTATTTGGCCACAAAAAAAATTTGTTTATTTTAACAATTTATTGGGATTGTTTTAGTATCTTAAATCTTGGTTTTTTTGTAATGACAGCAGCAGTAGGGTAAAACCCTGACTAGCTCAAATAAAGAGGGCAAGACCTTTAACATACCCATTTTGTTGTTGTTGTTTTTTATCAATGGTAGGAATTTAAAGGCTACGGTACTTTAGGACATAGAGATTTTTTTACTTTCTCCCCCTATACCATAGTATATGGAGAAAGTATTGTTTTCGTCAAAATTTTCGAGTTTGAGTTTTGAGTGGATATATTCGTTTTGGGTCCCCCTGGACCCAAAAAAGTGGTTTTCGAAGTGATGTCTGTGTGTGTGTGTGTGTGTGTGTGTGTGTGTGTGTGTGTGGGTTTGTAGGAGGCATGAGGGAGGACGCCACGTCCACTCTGAACGGCACCACCGAGGACTTGAGCACTACCGAGGACCTAAATCAGAGTCCTCGGTAGTAGGTCCTCGCTTCCGCCGTTCTGAGTTTAGTTCTAGTTCACCTGATTCCCGCTAGATATCTCCACGATGAGTATTTGCGCTACACACAATAATCACAAATCCACACACTCTGTCGGTTGGAGATATACGGCAACCACTACAATAAACGCTCTATTAGGGTGTCATTGCTATTTTTATTGTTTTAATTCGTTTATAACGTGTTTATACATAATCCTTGATACCCTGTATATTGTATTAAATAAATTGTTGTTCCTATAGTTTATTTATTTTGAATTACTAATATGTAATTAATTAAATTCACCGATTCCTCAACCGCGTTATTTGTTTCTTCAAGTATTCAAAACCGTTTTGAGAACTCCATTATCTCATTTATAATAGTCCAAAAATGTTTTACTGGAATACAATAAAGATTCCTTTTTTCTGCAATTTCTATACGATTAGAATCGAAATTGAAAGCGTAGGTTTGCAAATAGTGTGCTTATTTATTTTGCCTTGGTTCCGGTTTTTATAATTTTAGGAATTCGCGCATTTGAACATGGTGTACTTTTAAATACTATGTTAAGGGTTAACCAAATTATATCTACACTTTGGATTCACTATTAAAATTGTCTATAAATACGTTTGTGTTTGTTATTGATAGTAGTCACTGTAATCTTTGTTTGTATTGTGTGAAATTGTTTTATCATAATATTTTTATATGCATACCATATTAGCTAAATTACTAAAATTGGGGTCATATTTTGATTTGTTTAGTAATTATTTACAGTCTAGTCATATGCAAAATAATGTTTGTTTTGTAAATGCAATAGTTTTAATTTATTTTTTAAACAATGTTGGCAATGTTTAGAGACAATTTTAATGCAAAATCCTGCCCGATATACTTAGCAATGGATGACTCATAATTTTATGTCGAAAACTACACTTGTTTATCAAGATCAAGATCAACTACCCAACTTGATCAAGGGTATTCCACAACCTTGACACTGACGGGAGTGAGTAATGTAGGCCAGTCTTGAAATGAAATGAAATGAAATGAAAAATGATTTATTTAATCAGGCAAAGTTAGGGCCACATGGCCCTCTCTTACACTTAACCTGTAAAGTAGTCTTGCACCAACGTCAACGTCCGAACGTCTCTGTTGTGCATCACTCGGTATTTTTTATGTTACAATTTTTTCATCCAAGTTGTGTAAATTATTCTTTGAAGTGTTATTTCATTTTCACTAAAACAACACTAGCGTTATCAACAGGTTATATTCTTTTCAAAAATCTGTGTTTTTCTTCATACCCATTAATTACCGACATTTAGCTTAATCAATAGGCCTATAACTCTAAATCAATTACGAAAATATAATTTCATGGTGCGTCTACAGTTCAGGGGTTTTAGTACAGTTTGGTCGTTTGACATCGAATAACTCATATAAGTGGCTAAACGTTTATGTTTGTAATGGGAATACATTGACAAGTTTCTAAGCTAAAATCGACTGTTTGGACTTCTCGACGTGGAAAAATCTGCAACGGGTGCCGGTTTTATTGCCTGTCAGTCAACCCCCTTCAAGACTACTGCCTTTTTCTAGCGCCAACTCTAGCTAGACGAGGTCGAACTTTGCCGATCGGAGCCGACGCGTACAACGAGCAACCGCGTCAACTGATAAGGTTGAGTAACCGTGACCGAGGTGTCAAAACATATCCTCCCCCTTTTAAAAACTGAAGATCAGTGAAATATGAACTAATCTACTTAGTTTGAATATCCTATATCCTATATACAGGGTGAGTCACTACTGAGTGCATTAATTTTAACAGCTTATTCTACTCGTCTAAAGGAACAAAAAATGTACATAAACCCTTGTCTGACCTTTACCGTTTGGCTGTTATGACGTAATTTGTGATTTTTTAAATAACATGAATTTTGACTGTTAATTTGACGTTATGCCAAAGTAAACACGGCACCAAAGTAACAAATCGTCATACAATGTTTTAAAACTAGCTTTAAAAATAAAATTTATTTTTAGTAAAAGTTTGTTTAAATTGTAAGCCTAAAGAAAGTCAGTAATATGTTTGGGATTCTATTATCCAATTAAATAAAAAACTCCAAATACAATGGGTCTCAGATTCTTCCTTTTATCTATGTGATAAGCAAGCTCCCAACCATGTGTTGCTAAGATTATAGTGTTACATGGCCATAGCGTGAGTCATCACTCTAACCAACTTCCCAAATACCAACAAAAGGAGGAGGTTCTTAATTCGTTTGTGGCAATGTTTTATTTTATGGATGTTCAACAATTTCTCTGTGATTTTTTTATTGATCAGTGTGGTTTCACCACCAAAATAACCAGGAGAGTTTGCCTTTGGTACCATAATATTTGTTTAGGTAAAAATGCTGAAAACCACAAATATTTAACATTTATTTTGTTTATATTTGTGCATAGAAGGCAATAAATAGTAATAATATTCCTACAACTGTAGATTGAAACCATTTAAATGAAGCTACAGACAGTTCCTCATGAAAAAGTTGCTTCATATTGATTAATAAAAAAGCCTAAATGAGCTTGTAACTGATATTAAACTATCTGATGAGTGCTTATTATGGCGTGAACATTTAATCCTAGCAAGCACTTCAACAATTGCTATTAAAAAAATAATTCACCCCCTACCCTCTACCCTATTGGGGGGTTAAAGAATATTTTTTTTATGTACAAGATTGTGGAACCTTTGTTTAGAATCAATGCCACAAACAGAATATTTCTATTTATTTCGGTTTAAAAAAATACAGATTTGTTTCGTTACTTAATTTACACACTGTATATTATTAATTTGATTTAACCGTGCGCTTAGGTTATGGTTGTATGTATGATATAATATGGTTGAACTGTATATATAAACTTTTTTAACAACGGCCTACCAGAAATACTATATTGAGACTGTTATTTGGAGGGGAAAATGTCAATTACCTAATTTGCTGTTTACATCATAGTCCTCTTGTCATTTGACCTTCAACACACAATTGTAAGGCTGAAATAGTAATTCGAAAACTTAAAGTGAGATTCATTTTATCTAAATATAATTAAGTCTTAGGAAAGGTGGCAGGTTTAGTGTCGATTGTAGTAAGTAAGAATATTCAGTAATTTCAAATAAAACTGTTCTAGCTCACCACTTCCTTCACGGTAGAGTTATCCTTTTCACCTGACGATAACTTAAAAATAACGATAAAAAGTGCATCATGTTTTGTTATTGAGGGGAACGAGCGAAGCTCTTTGGGACCGGCTTCAGGGTAAATATCCCTTACGTTATCACGAAATGTCTTCTGAACATGTTTAATCTAATCTTCCCAAGGTTATTTAGATAACCGAGGGGATGTTTTTGTAGGAACGAATTTAAATTACATGATGCTATACAATTTAATCTTAACTTCAATTTTCAACCAGTACTATGCAAAGTGCAACAGCACCCAAAACAGTAGTTCTTCTAGCACATGGTTCCAAAAAAAAAAAAAAAAAAAAAAAAAAACATTCATGGCCATACATGGTTATAACAACTATCGTATATGTAATGGTAAACATCTAATTTACTATTGCCAGGTTTTGCTGAAATCACCAGAAGCGGAACTCTATCAAAAACTTACAAAGGCATGTGTATGTTTTAATTAACTATCTTAAAACTAGAGCATGAAGTATCTAATTGCAATTCAGTAAAGGGTTGTAAATTTTGCTCAAAGAAGCACGATACGATATTACACACTGCAGACCATAAACCGTCCGTTGGGCAACCCACCAATAACGGATGATCCACCGCAACAAAACCACATGAGGGAACAAAAACCTTCTTGTCGGGGCAGACTCAACTGGTCCCGTAAGCCAGGTACCCTACTTCTACTGGTCCCAGTCTCAAGTAAGGTCTCTTAATCCGCACTTCCACTGGTCCCGTCGGCAGCCCCTTTGTAATTTGTCTAACAGGATTACGGCTAGTGTCTGTATAGCTATCAATGCCCATTGATCAGTGGGAGGAAGGGGCCTGAGGTGTTTCGTTGTCTCTAAAAACACATGTTTGGAGAGTGTTTGATAGATTTAGATAGTGTTACCAGTAACAATAAAAAGTACAGCATTAATGTTTATAT